TTTTTTTGAGTCTACGAGTCCATCGCTTCGGCTGTAGCGCCATCGCTAGAATGCGGAGCCCAACAGGTGAGTACGATATAATTTTGAAACACCTCAAGTGTCTTGCAACGTCCAGCCTGCATAACATTCATTTGGTGAGCTCCCCTACTACGCGCTCGCGTGGCTACGCCTATTTGAAATAGTGTGATGTTATAATGGATTAGTAGAGATTAGCATCGCTTAAAATAAGCCTAAGCCTGGTCGTCGGGGTTGAGGAAGCTGAGGGAAGCACTGTGGACTCAATTGAAAAAGAAAGGTGGCATTGCCGCACGCAGGTTTAAAGACACTCGATTCATAAAACGCGCTTGTGTATACCGTATGGCCACGATTGACCTTTGTAACGCTGGTTCTTCTTGGCTTTGCTTCATGATGCTAACGTGCTATTCACTGTTGTCAATCTCTTGTCTGGTACGCTTGAATCTCTCTTATTTGGGTAGCACGATGAACCGAATTATGGCTAGCGCAGCTGCTTCGATCTTTGGATCGCTATCTGTCTCCCAGCTTCCCTCCATCAGATCCGACCGTATTTCGGCATGATGCTGAGAAGGCTGTAGTGATCGCATAACCGGTTTCAGGTGGGTGTCTTGAATTCCTTCATTTACTGCCTGCAGTATCTTACAAAAGTAGTTAATGCTGCTATAACAGGCGGCATTGATCTGTATCTAACCTCTGCCGAGCACTTGGCTAAGTAAAGATTGTTAGCTTTTTGTAGAGGTTCTATCCATATAGGAACGGCCTCTTCACTTTCGGGGTTTTTTCATTCCAGAAGTGCATGTTCTGATAGATCGTGTTCGTTGATGTGTTATATTTATGACGGCGTAACTGATGTGCAGAATTGCCACCTGGCCCGCTTCTGACTCTCAAGTCTGCAGCTTCTTTGAATGAGGGAGCTGCAAAATGTGATCATGAGAGATTCACGTGGTGATGGCTCGCGCCATAGCTTGGATGACTCTTCATCTTGGCCGTAGAGGAATCCAAGTTCCTAGAATCAGATTAGATTTTTTTGAATCACGATTTTGCTAAATGTTGCATGATCTCATGATATTTTGATACGTCGTGTGATCCCTGCATCGTATAAGTTCATCCAGTTCAAATGGACATCTATACCTTCGTATTCTCTGGTAAAGGTACCATTTTGAACTACTGACTACATGATCACTTGAGTTTTGATCTACAAAGCCAGGGGACACTAGTTGAAGGTTTAGCCTCTAAAATTCATGAGAAAGGTGAAGGAAGGATGTTAGAACTATGACTCAAATACTCCCAGGATTCACGGGTCCCTGAATAATTTGGCCCCCTACTGGGGAACTTATGCCTTCCAGGACAAAATCGGCCCATAGTTCATCCCGGGTATATAATAATGGGCTAAACGGTCGAGACATCCGAAGAGAAAATGTAAATATGAAACGAGGTCCTTGCGGCTCTGCGCGGAAGGGTATTTGCAATCATGTTGATCGGAAGAGCTAACCAAGAAGCCCACGCCTGAAGAGCTAAGTCATTGGTATCTTGAAAAAAAATATCGCACATATTCTAACGTCAACACGGACCGTATGCATACCGCGCAAGGCGAAGAGAAGGAGATGCACCCCAAGGGAATAATAGCGTAAGGCTCAAACGTTCAAATGACCTTTTCGCCTTTGTTCGGTGACAGGGTAGTGGCAATGGAGCAACGTATTCTATTCGGCAATCATGTGACGCTGGCTTCTGCGGCCTAACCTCAGCAAGATCTCAGAGAAGAGCGTCTTCCATTCATCCCTCAACCTGGATGGGGAGGCTCTAGGGGATGAACTAAAGTCTTTGTTGGTCAATGAGTAATTTAATAAAGAGGGTTCTCTTTTGGTTTTACGCCAGTTATCTTAAGTATATTGCAACAGGATCCTGCTGTAATTTCAAGGAAGAAACCAGAGTTGTTTTCGACAGAAACAGATAACTTTTCTTCTGTCATTCGTTTAATTGTAGCATATTCAAACTTATTCGTTGTACAACAATTTATTTTATGGTGTGGTAGATGGTGACTCATCCCTGCGGCTTCTCTCGTATACTCTAATGTCACTCTGGATTCCGCTCTTGATTTCTGACGCCGATATTGATAATGTGCGGAATGGCGCAGTTGTAATCATGTGACTTTTACTCGTTTTCCTTTCCATCTTTTTGTTTTTTACCCGATATATTTCTCAGATAGAGATATTCTTTAGATGATCGCCCACTGTTTCTGTGACTTTGAGGGGTGAGTCTCGAAGTCAGATTTTTAGCTCCTGCTGTCTTTATTCATCTTCTCGACCTAATTGTGGCATTGTATTGATTTTTGTCTCTGTTTTGTTCAAGGAATGTTTGCTAAGTCGTCATTCATACGACTAATTTGGGCTGGCCGTTCATTTCGAAAAGCTTTTCGCTTCTATCCCCTATGNTTTTTTTTTGTTTGAATGATCTCTAAGCGTTTCGGCAGGGCTTTCTGCGGATTCATTGAAATAGGTTGTAATTGGAACTCAGGAAAATTAGATTATAGGTGATTATCTCTAACGTCCAAGGCTGCCTTCGAAACTAGGAGAATGAGTTTTCTTGTCTTATCTTTGCCTCCACATTTCAAAATAAAATAGGTTTTTACGATACTCCGAGCGACGTGAAGTTCAGGAAGGACTACCATTTTCCTCGCTACGTTCTCTCGAAATCTGTGGAATAGTGACACCGGGCTTCGAGCACGGAAGAGCCAGAAGAGCACAGCTGATTCACCTGTTACTGATCAGTTGGCCATGATCATATATTTGCATGGAAAATGTGTGTCGCAGAGTGATTCAGTGGACTTGCCGACTGTCATCAATCTACAGTCTTGCACGTATAATTGCATTTCTTAAAGCACCCGATGAGCGAATCGATTCACAAATTGGTCGGATGAGTAGGATATCTTGAACATCAGATTTTTTGTACAAAAATATGATCTTCCAGGAATATCTGGGATTGCTGTTGGTACTCGCTGCCGCATTCAGATATCTAAAGGTGCTGAAAGAGATTAGATATGCAGAATAAGATGTCGTGGTTGACTATGCGATGAGAATAAGATGAGTGTGCGCTAAGTGGCCTACGACTCTCGCTAATTCAAGACATCGACGCAATGCGAAAGCTAGAGGAAATTAAGAGTGTTATATAGGGACTCATTCTACGCACCGGGACGCTTCTGCTGAATACTACAAGAACCAGAAAAGGTATTAATCATCAATTTTTTTACAATTCCATACGCTATTCTCCAGCGAACGTGGCCCCAATAATAGTGGTATGTTGCATGCTTTCGAATATGACGAGCAGTCGAAAGGAACCATTCAGTTCGACGATTAACCCGAGGTAGCAGCAGAGCGAACAGGTTCCGCCAAACATTCCCATAAAGTCTCCGAAGAATACTTTCTTCCACGAATGACATTGTAGCACGCCTTTTAATGCGAGAATGAAATTCTAATCACCCTACGTCCACTTTTGGAGAGGCCCGCAAGCAATACTCATCACTTTTCTAGCCGTTCTTCTCTAACGAAGACCACGAAACTTCAAGCGGTTCATCAAATATCATGTTTATCAAGTAACTATCAGCTATGATACTATGTTTTGCGCTACGCTTAGAGTTTTCTTTTTTCGCTGCAGACTCATGCCAAAGTATTCATATGTGCTTCCTTGGAGGCTTTGTTTATCAAACATACATCTTCATTACTGTCATTCATTTATCAACTCATACTTCACAATAATACATTGATTTACCACAAAATGAATAACACGAAGCTTAGTTAATTGGGATCCAAATGGCGAGTGCGTCTGGTAGTAACTCGAATCAAATCTATCGCGGAGTGAAGGCTCTATAATCCGATCGATAAGTTAAAAAGGTTAAGGCTCAGTTGCGAATGTGAGGAATGCTCGCTCGCGTCTTATCTCATGCTTCATCAGGGAACGCGAGCTAGCTTCTTCGGTATATAAACTGTAGGATGACTCATGGCCAATATTACTCTTCTTTATAACGTGTTTCTTCCATGACTCTCGTTACGCTTTATGGCTCCTATTAAGCTTTATTACTGTCGTCTGCTACTCATGGTCACTTCAGATTGTTGCCTTTAGTTTTTCAAGATGTCATAAATTGTATTGCTCAGTGCCAGTTTATACTAAGAATTTGAATCTTGTTGTTGTCTGTTGCTGATTTTGGTTGATTTAACAAAGTTTGAGGCTCTATTTGTCCTGCGGATAAAGTGCAGGCTCTGCGTGGTGTGGTTCGGATACCGTTGGCACAATCTGAGCTCTATATACTATACTTCTTTTTCATGATGCATCGGCCGTAAAGACTCATTACCAACTTCTTCTATACGAAACGCGATTTGATGACCTACCGATCTATCCGAGACTCATAATCGCGACAAAAAATTTGGACGAAAAAGTATGGGCCGAAATGATGGCTCAGCCTCTCGTGGATATTGATGAAAAACCGATCAACACGGATTTTTTCACAAGTGAAGCAAGAAATTCGGACTCATCTTCAAACCATGGAGGAGATCTTCAGACAGTTAGAACTGTTTGATGATGAAGTTGGAAGAAAAGAGTATGTAGAGAACCAGAAATATGAAAAATGTGAAGGAGCTAACATTAATGAAGGAGAAGGTAGGCTACCTACACATCCAACTCGGCCCAGGAAATACGGTAAGGCCGGGAGGCGTCTCGAGCGACCTTAGCCTCCAGAATGGAATTGATTTCAATTATCTCTACCATTCAGTCTCTGAACATTCTGACGAGAAGAAAGACGCGACAGTTGAGAAGACTTCGGAAGAGGGAACTCACAGTAGCGCAGGAAAGAAAGGATCTATGGATGTACCCAAACTGGTAGACCCTGATGGGTTCACAGACTCGGATCGTTCCATCGAAAATCGCGAACAAGAATCGACAAGGCTCCCAGAAAATGTGGCATTTTTTGAGCCCCTACTCGGAGACGAAGTAAATGTTAACCCCAAGGACCAGCAGGCGATGGAGGTCGAGGAATCGGTGGAGGTACACGATGTCCTAGAAGAGGACGTCAGACCTCGAGAGGTGGAAGTGGTTCAGAAGAACCAGTTAGACTCCGTAAGCAAGGAAGCAAGGAAGAATTGATACAAAGACTCAGAAGAGAATATAGACAAGCCATCCAGGCCCGAGAAGATCTGAGAATGATGATGCGGGAATGAGAAACTCTGCCGCGCTGTCCTACGAGGAACTTCAACCCTGGAATGAAACACGAAAGTGAAGCAGGCATGCCGTGTGTTTCTGTGGAATAAGAAGACACCACTATCCAGACTCCTGCAGCGAATTCATAAGAGTAGAATCCAGACTCCAAAGACTAGCAGAGGTGGGAAGATGCCGCCTTTGTTTAGACACTTGGTGTGACGAAAGTAGGGAAAAATGTCGTAACTTCAATACTCGATGTCATTATTGTGGCGGATATGGGCACAATGCGTGTATCTGTGAACTTCCAGAACGTCAACGCGAATTCCAGGAAAAGTTCGAATGGCCAAACAGGGACTACGCAAAGGTATCCTACAGAATCTCCCGACTGGTAGGACGACTGCAAAGGCATGGCGCGAACTGACCATTCGCAGTGAAGAGGTAATGTCTTTGTGTCTCTCTCCGCCCATTGCTATTTTTTACTCTCCACCTTTTCTCACTCTCTCGGTCGTGGGCGGGGAGTATCGCGGAGTACCACGATCTGAAGGCTTTACAATCCGATCGATAAGTTAAACAGGTTGAGGCTCGGTTGCGAATGTGAGGGATGCTGGCTCGCGTCTTATCTCGTGCTTCATCAGAGAATGCGAGCCAGCGTCTTCGGTATATAAATCGTAGGATGTCTCATAGCCAATCTTACTCTTCTTTATTATATGTTTCCTCCATGGCTCTCGTTACGCTTTATGGCTCTTATTGAGCTTTATTACTCTAGTTAGATCCTGTCACCCTTGTTACCTTCTGCTACTCATGGTCACTTCAGATTGTTGCCTTTAGTTATCCAAGATGCCATAAATTATGTTGCTCAATGACAGTTTATACTAGGAATTTGACTCCTGTTGTTGTCTGTTGCTGTTTATGGTTTAATTACCAAGTTCGAGTTTCTATTTCTCGTCCTGTGGATGAAGTGCCAGACTCTGCGTGGTATGATTCGAATATCCGCGTGGCACAACCCGAGCTCTAGATTTTATACTTCTTCTTCCGATAAAATGATTTTATTTACTAATTTATTTATATACTGCACTCATAATGCACCAAAGCACTCAGACAGATGTACTAGTAAGCTCAAACACAGCGAAGCAAAAATAAAGAAAAGAAACACAAGATTTCAAAGCACCAGCTACAGCATGCAACAATCTAAGAAGGCAGTTCAACATTCCCCTGACTAGCTGAAGCAGACAAAGAGAGAAGAAAAAAGAGAAATATCCGTCAAGCCAAAAAGCAAAGACGAAACAACATGAAAACGGCATGAGGCAGCTATGTACCCACGATATGAATGGAGCATGAATGCACCAATCACTAAATAGTTAGCAACATGCATAGAACAAGGTGCACAGTCAACCTGGGCAACGCAACCGACCGTTGTCGTTCCCGGGCGGGCCAAAGTAGTTGCCTCTTTGATCTAAACACGAACCCAGGGCGTAAGACCCAGGTCCAGGTATGATGTTCAATACCTGTTGACCTGCACCATTTCGAACAACACAAGTTTAGTAGAAGTGAGTACGAGTGAGTACGTCTGCCTCAGAAAAGAACATGCGCGTAGAACACCAGTCGATGCAGAATGCATCACTGAATGCGAGGCTTAAAGGCTTGATTCGGAATTGTACTGCAATTACTACTGCTTTCAGCATAAAAGGGGAACGGGACACACTGCACTGCATATAAAAAGCACACACAAGAGCTGCTAATGCTGTTAGTAAAGAAGTGTGACAAAAACGTCGGCTTCTCAATTATCGCTGACCAATCATGCCATATCAACCGGTCCTGGAAAATAGTTCTACGAAGAGAACAATGAGCTACAGAAATACTTAAATTTTACTTACATCCTCAACTCCAATAAGATCGAGCAAATTCAATTTGTTCAACCTACTTTTGAAGACCACGCAATTCTCTGAACGCATCACTTCACTAGGAAGCCGAAACCACTTGGCGATACGATAAAAGAAGAAGTTGAAAACCTGCTCACGACTTTTACTCAAGATTCTTGGATAATCTAGACTAAAACTATTCCCTCTTTCGCTACTAGGCCTGAATACCCAGTATTTGCTTGGGAGCATATTGAGTTCCTTACGAAAGATCCGAAATCCGAAAACAAGATCCGAAACAGTTCTCCTATATAGCAAAGTTTCCAATCCTAGATGTTTCAGCCTCTGTCTGCTGTTTGGAAGGCTGCGTCTGTTTGAACCCTTGTTGATCCGAAGAAAGACTAATCTCGTGAACGTACTTTGAACTTTTTCAAGCTTAATTATATCTTTTTTCAAAGTAGGACTCCAAATCTGCGAACAGTACTCCAAATGAGGACGAACGTAAGATTTGTAGAGACGAATGAGTATGTCGGGTTTATCACTACAAATGTTCCAGAAAATCGTAAAAAGGGAACTGTAGGCTTTGTTGGTCGCATACTCAATATGAGTCGAAAACTTCAGTTTAGCGTCAATGAGTACGCCTAAATCTTTGGCGTATTCGCACTTTTCCAACTTGACACTGTTGATGAAGTAATCTCTGGCCTCCAAGTTTCCCATATGGAGTACAAAACATTTGTCC